CATTCTCCTCCGAGCAGTCTATGGATGTGGATATGTCTAAAGCACTCATGAGGCGTTTCGATCTTGCACAAGAATCTCATCAGATAAATATTGACTTGTCATCTATTCAAAATGATCATTCAAGGATATAGCAGATGGGCAAATGTTAGATTAGTTTGGTTACGGTTTTAGAAGTGTGAGGAAAATATGCTTGTTATTGTTTAAGTTTTGTAATGTATGCTCAAGGCGATTACGGACATTTAAAGGGTATAATGACGTTGTTTTCATATAATTATGTTTTGTTTCTCTTCATAATAAGAGTTAGAGCGTGATACTTTGGGCACTAGTAATAGTTTTGTGTAACGATATGAATTTAGCTATAGTTTGTTCTATCATGACTATACATAGCGATCGGATCTTTAGTATTGGTAATCTTTGCATTCAGTTCATTCGATGTGACTAGTCGATTGATTGTGCTCTTCACTGAAGGATTTTAACAAAGCTAATGAATAGCTTTCATGTTGAGGAATCAAAATAAATGCTATTGTAGCTAAGTTGTAGATGACCCTTGAGATGGACTTTATCAGTTCGAATATTTGTTGTTAGGGTAAATTTTTCATATTCAATATTTAATTTATTCAAACACTTAAATGACAAAAGAAATCTATGATCATAAATTATAAATATGTCTGTCGCCAGCTGAGAACACTCTTCGTCTTAATATGGTCATAATACATAATTATACAGTGTTTCCTTGACGACCATTATGTTTAGCAACAATTGGTTGCATATATTTTAAATGTCTGTGCATTAGTACTTCTGTCGTATTCAGACTGTTTCAATCTCCTGTATATTTTTTTTGTGTTGAAAACTGCTGTTGTGTTAAATTTGTAGTTCCATATTTGCTGAAAATCTTTCTTTAAAGATTGGAATCATGCTTCATGCATATAATGAATAATTATACATTGTTCATTGATTTCGATTAATTTTCGATTCGATTTAAATCAGATGGATTAGTCATTTTCATTGCTAATCGAAGGTGAAATTGGTTGGTTGTATTGATAGATATTTTGAGAATAATTTCTGAAGCCAACGATACATGTACCTCGGTAGATGACTGTTTAATAATGAGAAGTACAAATAAGAATGAAAGAGAAGAGAAGTAGTCTGTTGTAAACCAACATAAGCTTTATGAAATGTCGTTCTTCATCAAAAGCTGATAATGTACATGAATAATGTACGACCCGTAGAAGAATATCATCAATAATATTCGTAAAGATATATCGAGGATGATCAGATGTAAACGGTATTGCATATAATTCAGTTGCATCTTTATGGTACACGGATATTACTAGTAGTTCATTCTGATTTTCAATAAATATATCGTGAGACGATACAGTTGAACCTATTTGTCGCACTAATTCAATATTTGGATAAAAACTATTTGCTTCGTCAAGCACTTTATTGATTCCGTCCAATATTTCATTTGAAGTAAAGAAGTTTTGATCAATATATCTATAAATTATATATGTATGATAAGTAATTTTCGTTAACAATTAATGAAACATGCCGTCCATAGATTTCATTTCAAGCTTTTTGTCTAACGAGGGAACATATGCAAGTGTAAAATCGCTTTTGAGTCAAAAGTGGGCGCATCATGTAGGTCTTAGTGAGCTATGAATACCCTGAAACAAGTTCGGGCTGTTGGTTTATTGCTGCCGAGATATTACATTTTTACGGTATTCTTTTTATCAAAATGCGGTGGTCCCCATCAGGACTCTCAGAAAACCTAAGTTTTGAATTTCGACCTGAAAGTTTGCACAGTGGTAGACTATAACGAGAATAGTTTATTGTGAAAGCTTCAGATTTTTTGATTCCTTCTATTATGAAACAAGAACGAAAGAATATATCGGTGTATATTGGGAAGTAAAAACGTGCTGTTACCGTAGTCCTATCTCAGGATAGCAAGAATAAAATGATCTGAAACTTTTACAATAAACTCTTCTCATTATGATCTATCTCTGTGCAAAGTTTCAAATCGAAATTCGAAACTTAGTTTTTTGAGGGCCTTGAGGGGAACACGACATTCTAATAAAAAATGTCGCAAAAATACAATATCTTGGTAGCAATAAACCAATAGCTCGAACTTTTTTCAGGGTATTCATAGCTCACTAACACCTACATGACGAACATACTCCTGATTCAAAAGCGATTTTACACTTGCATACGCTCCTTCGTAAGCATAGTTCGTACGAACGTCAAAGGATCACTTTATTCATACAGTATCTTTTCCTACCATTTGATATAAAAACTTGCCGTAAAGATTTTGAGAAACAGTAACACAACATAATTTGTTATTGTTATTGTTATTGTTACATAGCAATAACAATAACAAATTACGTTATGTTAGCATTTCTCGTAATATTTGCGGCAAGTTCTCATATCTAATGGTAGGAAAAGGTACTATATGAATAAAGTAATTCTTTAACGTTCGTATAAGCTATACCAAGACTTATTTCATTGATTTTTTCCAAAAAAACCGTTAATGTTATTCTTATTAATAACAAAAAAAATAACAATAACTTTCTCACTCCTATTTTCAAATACCACAGTTAGCCACTACAAACGCTTATTAATTTACCCTTGCGGTTATTCTTAATGCTGCTTCTTCAGAGAGGAGTCTTCGACTACCAAAGTGTCCAAAAGAAAACAAATCAATAATTCTTAGAACATTAACAAAACATAGCAAAAACGACATAAACGAGCAGTAGTGTCAAACCTGAAAGTTGAATTCAATTATTGAAAATCTACTTCAATCATTCAATTATTGAACGGTTCAACTTCAACTATTCAATTATTTAACTATTCAATTATTCATTTTTTGGATAGTTGAAGTTCAACTATTCAACTATCGTCGCATGATGTCTGCGTGTAAAGATATGTGAGTCTTCTATCCCCCCGAACTCACTTCGCCGCACCCACACCTGGTCTCGTGATGTGTGTGTGTAAATATGTGTAAGTCGTCTCTCCG